TTGGTCTCAATCTCTTGACCTCGTGATACGCCCGCCTCGGCCTCCCAAAGTGCTGGGATTACAAGCTTGAGCCACCATGCCCAGACATGACCAGGCAGCTTTAAGGAACTAAGGTTGACTTTATGGAGCCAGTGTTCACAAAGCCCTCTTAGCAGAACTGGCCTTCTATTGGCTTACAGTGTCCCCAGCCTCACAGATGAGTAATGAAGGTCACTTCCTGGCAGGCTCAGGAGCTTCAGAATGTTTTAGACACCTCAAGAGAAGAGGAATTCACCCTGATGTATAGGTACTACAGATAAAGTTCTGATGACAAGTTCTTGGCTCGGCCTCCTGGCCAAGAAAGGCTTTTAAAAGTCCAATCTGAGATTCCTCATAAAAGCTCCAGCAAAGCAAACTTTAAAGGCCTGTGTGGTCAATTACCATTCTTGCTTCATTTATTAAATAATCGGGACATATTTAATGAGGCTAGGCTTATTTTGTAAATAAGAATAATCTTACTTTATCTTTGATAAAAATGGAGGTGACTGTGGAGAGAAATTTTATGTTTCAACAGAAAATTATAACCCCTCCTGGTTGTCAGATTCTAGTTCTGTTCATTGTCTTTGAGCTATTTTTCATCTCTTCTAAACCGGATTGTGCCATCTTGCACATTTTGTCAATTATTAATACTTTCCTTTTCCCCCCATTCTCCTGACTTGTTATCACTGAGAACTAGCACTGCCTGTTTCCTGAAGCTCTGGGTGCTGAAGCCGGACCACTTGATATAGCGTCAAAAGACAGATCACCACCACAACAGTGTGGGGCACCCAGAAAGTTTACCAGAGCATGTGCATCTTCCATGCCCTGCTCCAGCAAACAACCATTATTGTGACGTTCCCACTACCACCTCCACTAAAGAGGCTTCAGACTCAACATCTAGAAACCCAGACTGGACTGGACTAGCTGCCTTGTATGCTCAGAAATTGATTCCACTCGGTTCCAACCTTTAATCTTTGTTCTTTCTGTCCCTTTGCAGATCTCTTATCTCACTATTTCTAACATAAATCACTCTCCACAGCAATAAAACTAGCTTTTTTTTTTTTTTTTCTTTTTTGGTGAAATGTCCAGAATAGTTTCAGATGAAGGACATGTGGGGATCCACTTGGACCCCTAGATGTGATATAAAGATAACTTTTAAATGAAAATGTTGGAGCTAAAGAAGATTCGGAAATAAATCTTATCTGAAATTCTCTTATCTGATTAAGTTAGAGCCTCCAGAAAATACAGCTGCCACTAACCCTCCTTCTAGGAAGTTTCCTACAAATTCGACTGCCGTGGAGATAAACTGTCCATTTCCACTAGTATCTAAAAGTCCAGTAGAACCTTCCATACTTTCCCTAACCACTCCCCCTACTTCTTGGTTAAGTTTGGTATATAACCTTTTTTCCTCTGGCTAATAGATGAGTTACTTATCACTGAGTATTCCTGCCTGTAAACATAAATAAATCATGTATTTTTTCCTCCCTTTTTTTTTCAGTGTCTTGCTTTTGTCACCCAAGCTGGAATGCAGTGGCACGATATTGGCTCACTGCAACTTCCGCCTCCCAGGTTCAAGCTATTCTTCTGCCCTCAACCTCTTGAGTAGCTGGGATTACAGGTGTGCAGCACCACTCCCGGCTAAGTTTTTGTATTTTTAGTAGAGATGGGGTTTCACTGTGTTGGCCAGGCTGCTCTCAAACTCCTGACCTCAGGTGATCCATCTGCCCCACCCTCCTGAAGTGCTGGGATTATAGGTGTGAGCCACTGCACCCAGCCATCTTTTCTCCTCTTTAATCTATCATCAGTTAATCTGTAAACCCCCAACCACTGGATTCAAGCTGTAAGAAGAAAAATCTTCCTCCCAATAGTCTCCTCCCTGCTGACTGTCAGCAGCACTCACCGTCGTGACTACAAAATTATCTATTCCTGTATGTGTGTGTGCATACACGCATGCCTGGCAGAGACCTGGCAGCCCAGTAGGTCGTGACTGAATGCCTTTAGGAATTTCTTTGGGGAATCAAAGCTTATTAAAGAGGATACACTTCCCAGAAGATCAGAAATCTATCTTCAAACCAAGCTTGTTCCCCCGCTTATTGCATCATCAGACCAGGCAGCTTAAAATAAATAATCTATTCAAAGCGAACCAATTACAAAACTCACCTTTCAACTCTTAGTTTTGGGAAATAGACTGGAAGGACTCCTTCAACAGTAACTTGACCATGCTGTCTCCCTGATGACATTGTCTTGGAATGCTGGTGAACTTCTTTTAGTATACACTTCAGGGAGAAGACAGTTGCCTAAATTAATGACAATCCTTGACAGTTGTGAGTTTTGGTGTCTGGTGGACAGGAATCCTCTCCTAACTCAGTCTCTTTTTAGTTTTGTGATCTTGAGCAATCCTTTAGCCTTTTTGAGGCTGCCTCAGTTTTCTCATTTGTAAGCTGGGAGAAATAACACTTAACTTGAAAGATTTGTGGGGAAGATAAGATGAGATCAATGTATGCACCAGTGCTTTTCTTTCTGACTTCTCTTTAAAGTGCTTTTGAAATTATTTGGGCCACAAAATTATTAATAATACTTTATAGGCAGCAAATGACACAGCTGTTCCACCATTATAATACATACTATCCTCTAGTTAGTTGATATTCTTTTCCTATTTTCCTGCTCCCCTTATTCTGGGAAAAAGATTGTATACACTTTATGTGAACAGCAAACACAGCTTCTCCTATGAAAACCAAATAAAAAGGAAAAGCAGAATATAATGTTTATTTCCAGCCAATTTCTAAATTTTAAAAATCTTCCCTCTTTGATTTCATGGAGGTTTCCTAGCATTTCTTTTAGTTTGTGTCTGATATGGAGTCTGGATCCCTTTCTCTGTCTTTTTCTTGCATGTATACATCTCATGATAGCTGGCTCTACCACCATGACCTGAGCCACCCTGAGTCTGGACTGATTGCATCGGGCAGTAAACGGGCCAAGATCTTTCTGGTCAGAGCTTGGCAGCACGAATCGAGGAAGATGCCAACATTGTTGCCAAATGGATAGCTCATATTTTCCATCTTTGTCTTTGTGGATGCCAGTCATGTGCTCCCTGTGGTGCCCAAATTGTGCAACAGACGCTGGAGGCCATGAGCCAGCACAAGGGCCTAGGATGGGGCTAGGCCTTCCTGATGAGCATAGTCCTGGGTTGGGCCAGTGGATATATGCTCAGCCTGAATAATCAGCTATGGTGGGCTAGACAAAGGCTTGGTTGGGTACATGAAATCAGAAGCATAGTCTGAGAGTGGCCCTATGAAAGGCAAAATGGGATGGGCCAGAGGGGGAACTTGGGCTGGCACTGATTGTTGAGGTGGGTATGGCCATCAGGCTGATGGAGGGTTCCATTTGCTGAAGCACGGCTTAGAGTCTCTCAGCAGCTCCACTTAAGGAAATCAATCTACCCCTTCTCTTAGACCTGGTGTGCGGTGGGCCAGGGCAAGGAAAGAGGGTTACAGGTTCCATTGGAACAAAAGCTGAGTATTCTTTGGATCTGGACCACTGAGTCTGGGTAAGCAGTGCTGTCTCCTGAGCTGAACTCTCAGGAAAATCCAGATTTCTGTTCATTCATAGGGCTTGGAGAGAGGTCTCTACCATGCAATATCTAAGAATGTTGAAATGAGAAAATTCGTGATTTAGGAAAAGTGTTCTTCAATTTATATCTGTATCCATGTGTGAGAGAGATCTCTGGTGAATTTTAGGAAGCATATCACTGAATTGGCACCACTATCTAAGAAATGTATCTACTATACTGAACACTTGCCTGTTTATAAGCACTTGTACCCGCAATGCCCCAAAAGTGATGAAAATATCCATCAATAAGGAGTATTTGCTTCAGAAGCACATATACTAACACTGGAACAATACTGAGAAGATTAGCATGGGCCCTGTGCAGGGATGACATGAAGAAGAATAAAAAGGAGGAGGATAAAGAGGAGGAGGAGAAGGAGATGGAGAAGGGGAAGGAGAAGGAGCAGGAGGAGAAGGAGAAGAGGAGGAGGAGGAAGAAACAGAACTAATAATAGGCATCACTGTCCTTGAGTATATCAACAATTGTAAAAACCCTTTGACATCCCTAAATCAATTTATTAGCCCCAGATCTGGAGCTTCTCTTGACCTGTGGTTGGTCGCTCAACCTGGTTTGTGGCTTACAGAGCCCTAGGGATGGCATATGGGAGGCTAGTGGGAGGAGAGCAGGTGAATGATGGGGAGGCCTACCATGAGATCTTCAGCCCTGTGTTGAAGGGGTACATGTCTCTCAGGAACCTCCACATCTTCCAGAACTCTTTCCAGAACTTATTCTGCAACTCTTCTGAGTCTTCTAAGCATCCCTGGGAAGGACGTTTCTGGTCTAGGTAGCAGGTGAGATCCTTCCTTTGCTGTAGAGATATGCGATCAGGAAGCTTCTGTGACCTCTTTGGTAGTAATGTCCACACAGAGAGTAAAATGAGGATGTTGGATTGCAGGAGTCAGGGCTTGGATGTCCTGGAAGAGTGCTGCATCCTTCCTGAGAGTTGCCTTCTCTTCTGATACTGAGGTGGCCATCACAGGCCCCAGGCTCTGTGGCTCAGCCATGTCCAAACAAAGTGTCATTCTAGAGGGAGGGGCAGTCTTCCTGAATGACTACATTCTAGTTCCTGAAGGCTGCCAGGCCCCCTGGGCTTTCTCTTGCTTAACTTTCCTGAGACTTTAGGACACATATATACTAAATACATAAATTAAAAGTCTGCATGTAACAGTCTCTTAATGGGCAAATAAATCTCAGTCCCAAAATGGAAAAATATTACCCTATAGTACGTCTGAAAAAACACACAAGCAAACCTTAGACTAAAAGAAACACCCTTGGCTTCTTCAAACTTTGTCTATAAACAAGAGACCTTACAATTCTCAGTAGAAGTGTCTTGTGCACATCAAAGCAAGATATAGATGCTTAAAGCTTGTCATAGGTATTGGAATATCTTCTGAATGCGAGGTTATGTGCAATGTAGGGGGAGGGAAAATGTATAATATCTCTGACCCAGGTGAAAATGACCTCATCTATCTGCATCATCTCCAGCCACAAAGTGCTTCTTAGGCTGAATTATCCAGGTGATTGCTTTATCTCTCCACCATGTGTTCCACATATAAAATTATCTTAACTTAAACACCGGGCCGTTCTTAAAAATGGAACCCAAGCTCTTACAGCATCTTACAAATCTGTAGTTTGACATATACTTCCTAGAATTTTTTATTTTTTATAACATCGCTTTTTAAAAAATTCTCAGTGTTGATCTGTGAGGCTGAGCTCCCTGAGGAATAGACTGACCTCCAGCAACTGCTCATTCCACCCCTAGTAGAAGCTTGAATCATGACTGGGTGACCAAGTGTCCCATTCAGTTATTATTCAACTATATTAAATTGCTAAAGTTGGTAATTGGAGCATATCTTATTACAAAGGCAAAAGTTCAACATTTTTCCCCAGGCACAATAGCCTTGTGCATTTGAAAACTTCTGGTCTGGTAAGGAATAAGATGTCAGGGCATGGAGCATGCAACAAATTAAACAGGGGAAAATATATTAACCAAACCCAGGCACAATTACCAAGCATTACTTTGAAGATATTTACCATTCTCAAGCTCTTATAAAAGGGATGGGAGAGATAAAGTAGAAGGGGGTCTTGAAATAAATCAGTATTCCCAAGCTCTAGGAGGCTGACACAATTGAAAACCTGTCATTTAAAGTATACTAGGAGCTGATAATAGAAAGTAAATGCGGGTCATTTACAACATACCGTTTATCCATCTTGGTTGGTGCTCATGCCACATCAATTATTGAATATTTTGAAATCTGATTTTATTAAAACTCATTTAGATCCATAATTATAGGTTATGTATCAAAAGTATCATTTGGGGTCTGACTGAGATGTCCAATTTTCTTTAAAATGGTACTGACAGAAGGAGCAGTTTTACTGAGACAGTAGGAGCTTTGGGTACCCACTCAAATGTGGTCACACCAAGTTACTGCTTTGAAGAACAAAAAGTGAATCTTGTGAGAACTGCAGAGACCACAGCCTATAGTGGTATTCCCCAAATGGGCCTCATCAGAAGACTCATTTAGGGGCAGTTGTTCAATAATTTGGATTCCCGGGTATCTTCTCTAGAGATTATGATTAGTAGGTCTGCCTGGGGTAGGCCTCTGAATCAGTATTTTCGATAGCAGTCCCAGTGATTCTTTTGGTAAGGCAAATTTAGGAAACAACTATTGACATTCAGAATATTATCATCCATTTATTCTTTTAATCATTTCACAATCACTACGGTATTTTTGAAAGTGTGAGCCTGGCTTCCCCACATAAAATCACTGGGGCTGTTTGATGAAAATCCTGGTCTGGAACCCCATCCTAAACCTACCAAATAGATCTCCAGAGATAAGACCCAGAAATCTGCCTTGTAAATGAGCATCCCAAGTGACTCTTAGATAATAAAGTTTGGGAACATTTGCTGTGTGTGTCAAGCACATCATATGTTTCTTTAAGCTGCCCATTCTCATTCAACAGGCAACAAACACTCATTCCTACCTACTAAGGCAGGAATCAGTGAATGACTTGCGTAGAGGTGATGTAAAATGTAAAGGAAAAGTGGCAGCTCTTCCTGCTTTAAACCTGCCATCCTTAGGCTTAAAACAAGAAGGGAGGCTGCCCTGCAGACAGAGTGGACAGGTTTTGTGGGACATGGGAGAGGCTAGTGAGGCCCACACCCTTTGAGCCTCTGGAGTCTGTGGATGTGGCCAACCAACGCCTGGCTGGAAATAGTCATGAAAAAGCCCCAGGACCTCAGGGTCAAGGGCTAGGGCACTGGTGAGAGTTCTCACTCAGAATTTCCTGCTAGAGTGCTAACCCTGCAGCACATAAATATACTTTACTTTTTCTTCTTCCTTCTCCCATTTCCTTAGTTTTGTTTGTGGAACGGTAATGGAGCCTTCCCAGGCATTGTTTTATTCTGACACCATTACAAGGTCTGTTCCCTAGTCACTTTCTTAGTCAGAAGCCTATGGAGCATTCATTGTTCCTGTGGATTTTTACTGATGTACAATTGTGTTTAAAATAACTCGTCCAAAATATGTTTGGAAAATGATAAGTAATTTTATTTTAAGTAAATGTTGGCAGGTGATTTCAATTCTGATTTTCTTTGATTGCTCATGAGAATGATAATTTAGGTGAATGTCCCTCTGGTTTCGAATGGTAAGAGTAACGATAACAGTAATAAATAAGGTACTCAAGAAATTTGAGGGGTTGTAACTCTAGGATAGGATTTTAAGTAAAATATCAGAATGGACCTCATTTTCCTCATCTGTAAAATGGGAATAATAAGACCTGCCCTAGCTACCTTACTGGGTTGCTGAAACTCCAGTAACTCTATAATATTGATGCTTGGTAAACTATACTTTATATAAACTTTTTTTTGGGGGGGGATGGAGTCTCGCTCTCTCACCCAGGCTGGAGTGCAATGGTGTGATTTCAGCTCACCGCAAGCTCCGCCTCCTGGGTTCAAGCAACTCTCCTGCCTCAGCCTCCTGAGTAGCTGGGACTACAGGCACGTGCCACCAGGCCCAGCTAATTTTTGTGTTTTTAATAGAGATGGGGTTTCACCATGGTGGTCAGGCTGTTCTCGAACTCTTGACCTTGTGATCCACCTACCTCGGCCTCCCAAAGTGCTGGGATTACAGGTGTGAGCCACTGCGCTTGGGCTGTATAAAATTTTTACTTCATACAAACATTGGTTGTTGGGTTTAATAATTTTTTTTCTTGATACTTTTTTGCCCTCTAGCTTCAGATGTCATTGAAACATTTTTAGACAGTATAGGTCAACCTAAAATAAAGCAGTGAACACTCACAGGAATTTGGGTACAAGGTGCTTACCATTGCAATTCCCTCTATTACAGAGATAATTGGTTGTACCAAGATATTTTATTTGTTAAGGTCTGAGAAGGCGGAAGTATGATCCAAATAGCAAAGGTCCCAGTGGCAAATGAAAGGCACTTTGAAACTGTGGTGTATTGTTCTGTTCTGGAAGGCAAAACACTGCCAGGACGAGGATGGAGCCATTCCAAGTGGGTGATGAAATTTACTTTATTGACATTATCAATAACAATGTATTTATGGGAAACAAACATGAAGTGTAGCTCATACTTACAGGACTTGGCAAGTAAGCAAAGCAAAGTGGGGTGTCTGATCATGAAGCCCAAACCTTTGAGGCTGCTTGGCATTGTTTTCAGGTCTGGATAGCTGCGTGGGTTTCAGGTCATTATCTTCCTCCATGAAGCCTCAGCTTCCTCTTGCATAAAATGGGCATAAAGCTCTCCAGTACATTGTAAGATCATAGAAGATAATATTTTACATTTGAAGTAAAACATCATACATAGTTTATCCAGTTACTAGGTAATAAATATTGCTTCTTTCATGTGGGTTGAAATCCAGAAAGATATAGAATAGAGTTAGAAAATGCTGAGTGGAACACAGGTGTCTTGAATATTTTGGCTGTATAATACAAATATCTTACTTTTGGTTTTCCTTTTCAAGGATACCCTATTGTAAGATCATCAAAAGGAAAAAAAAAAAAAACCACCCAACACCTCTCTTTGTGTATGTAGATGAAAAAGTTGCTTTATCATTCCAAATCAACCTCTCTTTCTCCTTCTCAGAATCTTAGAACAGTGAAGACTTTGGTACATTAAATGCAAGTTCATAAAATAATTATGGCCATGTCTTAAATTCATGCATGTTATTACAAGTTGATGAATCATTGCTGGTTCCTGCATAATTTTTTTTAACTGGAAAAAAAAATGTTAATATATTGATGGTTAGAGTTGCCAGATTGACAAATCCAGAGAACAAAGAACTTTTCTTTTAGGATTAGGTAGGCGTCATAGCCTGTTTAAAGCTGAAGGAAACTTT